TGAACAGCGTGTTAACAAAACAAACATATTAAAATACTTTTCTATATGATTCTCTGAAACTTCACACAGAATGGATGTTGCAAACACACAGAGATTTCCCGGAAAATCTGAAGAGCTCACGTCATTCTCTCAGAAGAGAGCTTTTTGAATTTATTTTTATTGTTTGAATGACTGAAAGTTGAGTTTTGTATCTGAAACATGGAGAGTGAGACTGAAGAAAATATTATTTCTTATTGGAAAGACTTTTCTTTGTAATTACTTGTCATTCAGTAAGTGTAGAATGGCTGTGAGAAATTAAGCTCTAAGAAGTACCTAATATGCAGTTTTCTGACGGTGAATAATGATTGAGAGAAAAAAATCAAAGATTAATAACTTTATTCCTCCTATTTTCTGTAAGTAAGAATGCCAGGTTGCTACCCTGGAGGGCGAGTGAGTGCTTCACGAGTTCTTATCCCTTCAGCCTATGCTTTTATCATTCAAAATGATGACTGGTCAAAGAATCATACCCCTTTACAGAAGATGGGAAAACACCCCAAATCCCCACACTGTACACCCTCTACAGTCTAGTTCACTTCCAGCCACATCTCATAGTGAAGCGAGCATCAGAGGAATCACGATGTGCCTGGAACTGATGGAGACCACTCGTCTGCCATGTCCTGCACCAAAGGGAGGAACTTGGTCCTCCTGCTCGAGAGAACAACCAAAAACAACCAAACCCATTGCCTTTGAATCAACTCCGACTCATAGTGACCCTCTGGACAGAGTAGAACTGCCCCATAGGGTTTCCAAGGAGCAACTGGTAGATTCGAACTGCTCATCTTTAGGTTAGCAGCCGAGCTCTTTACACCTGTGCCACCAGGGCTCTGCTCAAGAAAAGGAAGCATGAATTTTTTAAGGTTTTCCACCACCAACAACAGAAGAAAGGTCAAACTGGATTCCAAATGCAAAAGTCTATTAGATTGAACCTGTGAAACTGCATATTATTGGTACAAATGTTTAATTTATCAGCAATTTCACATTGTTCAATCGATAGAGAAACACACTATTTTATTCCAAATTTTATATGTCAATATTAACTTTACATACATCTGTAGTAGAATAGTTACTACGGTGACAGATGCAGTGTGTAAATATCTAAACTACTGTCCACACTGTTTCAACTACCCAAATTTCTCCGTACATGTTTATATATTTAAATACGAACTCCTGCTGATACAGGCAAAACCTGGAGGCTGCTCCATAATAATGAGGTTGAATGACACAGACTGAACCTCATAAACATACATGTGGATCCACCAAAGTGCCTCCAAGGAACCAGTCTATGTGTTAAATAAAAATTTCACTCTCTTTAAATGGGGGTGGTGGCTGGGGGGAAAGAATCTACATTTGACATTTTTAATGACAAAACTATTTTCAATGGCATGATACAATGTTAAGAAGTTCAAGCCAAATATAATAGAAATTATTGAAATCACACTTAATCGGAAAATAACAGATGTTTGTTCCATTTCACATCATTACCTGCCATGTGTCAGGAATAAAATCCAGGACTCTGGGATCTGGATCTTTTCTCTCATCTCGTATCAAATAATGGCCCATGAATTGTAGTTGAAATCGAATAGGTCCAATGTCAACTGAATATTTATTCTTTTTCTTCTCCTTTATCTCCTCTCCTGAAACCTAAATGATTTTTAAAGTGATTTTAAATTATGCTACCATTTAAACTATTAAAATATTTTTACTGTGTCTCTTCCGTATGAAAAGCAATTTTCCGCCTTTTAAAATGTTTAATATTTATTGAAGAAGTCCTTTACCACCTAAATCGTCGTCTTAACTATGAATAAATTAGCAGACATTAAGATTTTCATCATTTACGTCATAGTACTGGAAGCTACAACCTGAGATATTTAAAGACTATTGAACAATTACATTACAGTTTTGAGATATCTTATTAGAATTGAGTACAGAGTTGGTTTTAAGGGTCCAGAGATTATCTGGCATTTAATGTTTTTCCAGGCAAGCATTTACTCAGATTTTCTAATTCTATACTACTTCGTATTTGGGCAACTGGTTTACTAATAATGATTAGGAACTCAGAGTAAATATTCTCTGTAAAAGAAAAAAAAATCTAGAACTAGTAACTATATTTATAGATACTTCATGTAGACCTAATAATTACTCCGGGGCCCTGGTGACACAATGATTAAGCCTTCGGCTGCTAACCAAAAGGTCAGCAGTTCGAATCCAACAGCTGCTCCTTGGAAACCCTACAGGGCAGTTCTACCCTGTCCTACAAGGTTGCTATGAGTCAGAGTCGATTCAACAGCAATGGGTTTTAATAATTCCTCTAGTGTATTAGAAATGGAGGTATTATAAAAATATTACCTGGGTTGGATGTAAAGAACTTGCCAACTCATCAAATCCTAAATACTTAAGGCATTTGGCTATGAACTGATGATCTGCCTCTTGCAAAAGTTCTGGGTATTTATCCATCAAGGAGTGGATCCTTTTCATCATTTGAACAGCGATACTTAAATCTTTTGAGCTTTTACCTTGGTAAAGAGTAAACAACAAAACTGTCAAAGAGACCATCAAAAATAATAAATGTTTAATTATCCATGATTAATCATCCCACCTATCAATTAATCTGACCTAATTAAACTCACTATCTAACTGACATTAATGGAGGTTTTAGAATACAGAGAACTGAACTTAAGTACTGGAATAAAATTAAAGCACAACTTTCCATATTTCATCATCTCTACAGATAACTGAGAAGTAGCTCTGTAAGTATTTAGGAAAAAAGAAATCCTTTGTAGCTCGTAATAGAAATCCCATAACCCATTGCTGCTGAGCCTATTCCGACTCATAGCGACCCTACAGGACAGAGTAGAGCTGCCCACAGGTTTCCAAGGCTTTAATCTTTGTGGCAGCAGACGGCCACATCTTTCTCCCACGGAGTGGCTGGTGGGTTTGAACTGCCCAGCATTCGGTTAGCAGCCACTTAACCACCGTGCTTCTAGAGCTCCTTGAAACAGAAATAAGATTCTTAAACCTCAGGTTTGTATAAGTTTCTGGGGAACCAATCTTTCCTCCATCTGTTATCCTCAGATGTCTTCTCTACTACGTTCAAAGAAAAAAAAAATCCATATGACTTTAAATATCTGGTCAAAAACCTAGCAACATTTATTGATGACCACAGATAAGTATTTGGAATAATCACTGGAGCCCTTCAATTCAACCAGTCTATTCCAAGTCTCAGATTCAGGAGACTCAGACTTGGCTGATCCTGACTGCTAAAACACTCTGGGTGGGGAACAACAGAGACGCTTAAGCTTATGCCTCACACTGTCATAGTATATACAGTTTCTCCATATCTTCTCCTTTTTTTCTTTTCTACTACCCACTGTAGAAACGGACAGAGTCTGTGGGAAGCCACAGGAAGCTGCAGAAGAACTAAGTATGGCAGAAAGCCATGGTCCTCGTTCTACTCAGAAAGTAAACATGCAGTCTTTGGGTGTCAAGGATGAAGAACAGACTCTCCCTGGGTACCTCACCATCTTGTTGGGTTCCCTTTTGTAAATAGCCCTTTTTTAAAGTTATCTTTGATTGTGCTTTCAAATATGCTGCATATTCGATGCTGAGACCCTCTCTGAGATTCCATTTCTCATTGGAAAAATAGGCATATTAATACTTACTGTGGAGGAGAAAATAAGATAATGCAGGCAAGGCTTCTAGTACAAATTTCTAGTTAATAAATGGCAGTTATAATCACATTTTTGTTGATTCTTCAATTCACAAATCAAGAAAACACAGAGCCACATACCTTCACCTTGGCAATGTTCTTTCCACGCTTTCAAGCAGGCAGTTAGCCCCACCATTTCAACTTGAAATTTCACTGAATTACTTTTACATGACTTCAAAAAATCTTCCAGGTTCTTTATTCCAGAATTTAAATTCTCTTTCAGTTCCTGTTCAACTGAAAATGACAGAGAATTCCATTTTTGCTCTTCTTTCTGTTCTTCCTTGGCAAACAACCTCTTCTTATTTTCTCTAGTGATTATTTCAGCTTTTGTCTCCTGCCCAAAAAGGAAAGAAACACAGCATGAAACAAGTGGGAAGTACTCCAAGATGACAATTCATTAGTGAGACAGTATTTTTAAGTTGTATTGATAACTTTGACCATCATCCCATTCTTGAATAAGTTCAATTTCTCTTTCAGTGTCCATTTCTTAAAATCAAAGCCTCTGCGAATTGAAAACTTGAAATAAGTTAATGAGTATAAAACCTCTGAAGATAATTTTCTAGATTTCTGAGCAGTGTAGATTATGAATAAAGGAGTAAATATAATAAAATCAAAGAGATACCAGGCCACTGTTCTTTCCTGTCTGCGTGCATGATACCTGCTGCCCTCTCTGGAATCGTCTTTCCTCTTCCATTCTTCCCCAGTCACTTCCCAAGCCCTTATTTATCTTTCAAAATACTTCCTCCAGGAAGCGGTCTCTGATTCTCCCAAGCCTGAGTTAGGTATCCCTCCTCTTCCCTTCTGCTATACCTGCTCTGTGAAAGCACTAATCACCACGTACTGCAGTTGTGATTTTACTAGTCATGCTGGTCATTACAGAAACTTCCTTCGACACGTAGAACTAACAGAGGGGAAGGTGGAGTGACTTCCATTTCTGCTTGCCCTTTTGACGCAGTTCAAGGCTAGAGGTTTCCCAGAGGACTGAGAACCTTGGAAATGAAGCAGTGATTATTACTTAATGTTATCTTCAGCAGAAAATAAAGGACCTTTGTTTAAAAATAATCCCAGGAGAGGCGTCTGTCTGTTGGAGATCTGACACACCCACTCCTTGTTTGTTAATTAGTTGGAGGCCTGACAAAGAGACCGTGCACTTCACTGATCTGCCGAAAACTTTCCCATGAAATCAGTATTCAAAAGTGGGAATGAAATGTTCTTTCAGGCCTTGTCATGGATTGAATTATGTCCCCCAAAAAATGTGTGTATCAATTTGGCTGGGTCATGATTCCTGGTATTGTGTGATTTTCCTATATGTTGTAAATCCTACCTCCATGATGTTCATGAGGGAGGATGGGTGGCAGTTGTGTTAGTAAAGCAAGACTCAATCTACAAGATTGGATTGTGCCCTGAGGCAATCTCTTGAGATATAAAAGACAGAAGTGAGCAGAGAGACAGGGGGACCTCATACCATCAAGAAAGCAGTGCCAGGAGCAGAGTGCATCCTTTGGACCGGGGTCCCTGCGCGGAGAAGCTCCTAATCCAGGGGAACACCGATGAGGAGGACGCTGACAGAGAGAAAAAGCCTTCTCCTGGAGCTGACGCCCTGAATTTGGACTTTTAGCCTACTTTACTGTAAGGAAATAAACTTCTCTTTGTTAAAGTCATCCACTTGTGGTATTTCTGTTGTAGCAGCACTAGATGACTAAGACAGGCCTTTATGGGTTTCATTCCCCGTATCTCTACCTTGTGTACTTCAGTTTGGAAAGGCAGATGACTGCAACCAGTGCCTTTGTTCGTGATCCATTGTTAAGTTGTCACTCTCTCTAATATTTAAAACCTTTGACTTTAGGAAGCTCTTTCAATGAAAATAAATATCTTTCCCTAACTCCCAAATTTGAGGCCAGCAGAAATAGACTAAAGCCTAACGAAGTGTCCATTTTTGTCAAAAATAGTAAAATCATTCCCTTAAAGCTGTTTGCCATTGAGTCAATTCCGACTCATAGTGATCCTATAGGACAAGCAGAACTTCGCCATAGGGTTTCCAAGACACTAATCTTTAGGGAATCAGACTTCCACATCTTTCTCTCGTAGAACAGCTACTGGATTCGAACCACCAACCTTTCAGTTGGTCGCCAAGCACTTAACCAGTGTGCCACCAGGGCTCTTTATCAGTAAATACAGTTTCAACATAAACTGTATTTACTCAGATATTGATATGATCAGGCACAGTAACTGATCATTTTTCATATCATAAGTTATTAATATTAGTATTTCAGTAATAGGCTTAACCTTTCCTTATTTACTCCCTACACTTCATCCACAGCTCTGGCCCTTGGGAAAGAGCTAGGAGAACGGCATCCCAAGAAGGAAGAACTTTATAGGAGTCAAATCTACAAAGAAAGTGGAGAGTTCTCACCTTCCACCCAAACAAAGGTGATAGATTGGTTAATTATGTAAATACTTGGGAAAAGTGTAGACAATCTTCATAACTCAGGCAAAAACAAAAACAAAAACAAAGCAGATAAGTATTTCATACTTACTTTTACCACGTATATGCAAAAAAGATTTTCATTGCCATTAACTAATAAACAATTCCAATGTTAATTCAAAATTTCTAAATCCAAGCCTTTAATAATGTGATACTTTTTGCTCTTTATCAAATGAATTCATCTTTAATTTTGTATGTTGCTGCTGTTCGGTATCATGAAGTCATTTTCAACTCACGGTGACCCCACGGGAGGACTATGTGTAACATTTTCTGTGCAAGTTAGACTTTCTTAAAAAGTAAGTAAAAGAGTTAGCGATCTTCTATGAAAAAGAAAAACCAAAGCATGGAAAGAAATCACCAAAGACGCGAACAAATATAAATATCCCATTAAGAAAAGGAAGAGCAAAGTAAAAACATTTGATAAAATTTGTGGAACCTACATGGGTCTTTTTGCTTTGGGGTCCACTGAAATTCTTCTTCAGCTTGAGGGTTTGAGTTACAATGACTTTTGAAGAGACTGATTCTAATGAATTCCCGTAAAATCGTTGAAAAACATGAAACTTTTGCATGGATCTAAGAACACGAGGATCTCTAGAATGTTCTGAAAAAGGAAAGACTTAAAATATAACATTACTATATTTTTTTCAATAATGTTCTAACTGCTTCACATCATCCCATCCAGACCTGCACTTCTCTTTGTAGTTTTAAAGAATAATTTAGTCTAACTATCTTTGCTAAAGAGGGAATACTAACTCAGGCTCTCTCTTTTCTGTCAGGTAACTCCTTATCTTATTTAAAGGATGGATGTGACAAAGCACTCTTTCATGTCTACCTCCAAAAGCAAGTATCAGGGTACTACAAAAAAAAAAAAAAAAAGATGATGATTCTGGGCATTAACCCCATTCACACGGCAGAAGACAGACCTAACAAGAGGAAGGTAGAGTCCAGAAGGCAGTCATCTAGGGTATTCTGATTTCTTGCATCCCTGGATAGGAAAGTCCTTACAGCAGATCACGGCCATAGAGTCAGGAGCCCCGAAACTGATACCCTACAACCTCTTTCTCTATTGTAGAATCCAATGGCACAGGAAATCCCAGTAGTCAAGATATGACTTTTCTCATAACCAGACAAAACCCTTTATTGCACTCACTTATAAAGGCAATAGCTAAACTGATGAATTTTCCTATGTCTAAGTATTACACGTATCAAATCACACCACTCTGAAGGTTGTTAACGGGTTCATCTAAAGTATTCCCTCACACCTTGCAGTGTGTTAATGGCTATTTATATAAGCAGACTGATAAGCACTGCATATGAGCATGCTTACTATGCAGGCTTCCAGATTCTTCTGAAAGTAAATTTGTCAGTCCTAAGACGGGCGGGGTGAACGTAAACCCATTGTCGTCAATTCAATTCTGATTCATAGCCACACTACAGGACAGAGCAGAACTGCCTCAGAGTTTCCAAGGAATCGCTGGTGGATTTGAACTGGCAACCTTTCGGCTGGCAGCCGATCTCTTAACCACTGCGCCACCCGGGCTACGGGGTAAACATGGGGTAGAAAAAGACAAAATGAAACAAGGCATGAACCAGAGAGGCAAGATCCCTAATTCAGTCTCTGCCGATCTACTCTTTTTGGTTACGGGGCCCATTTTCACACTTCCATCTACCCTGAGAATGAAGGCAGACAAAATACTTGTGCTTGTTACAAGAAGTTAACTGAATAGTATAAAGTAGCTGTAATTGCTGAAAAGACTATGCTTCTGTCAATATATTTAAGATAAAGAAATACACAGATTTCTTAAACAAGGCAACTTCTTTCCTTAAAACAGCTTCTGATATTTTTGGAGACAAATGTCATATTTGTGCACTTCTTCCTGCGAAATCTTCAGACCTACCTGCACAGGCAAGACAGTCAACGAAGTGGAAAATTTTTATTCTGAACCTTCCTGATGTACATCTATATATCTTGCAAACTATATTTATTCAAAAATAATAATTTTGTGACTCATAGTAAGATAATTTTCCGCTAGTCCATAAAAATCAGAGAGTGACATTTATTTAAATTTATTTAACCAGAGTCCCAGAGCTCACCATCAAATTGACACTTGGCCTGGTCATATTCATCACTCAGAGGTCTGTGGGAATGCCAGTGCACAAGTTCATCAAATTCCTTCTGTTTAACCAGGGAAGCAACAGTAGGATCATCTCTATGAGGAAAAAGAGAGATACATGCATATTTCAAATTGCATGCCCCCAAATACAACACAGCACAGATTTCATCTTATACTAGTGTTTTATAAAATCATAGCCCCCTCGTCTGGGGTCTTAAAAGCTACCAAGTGGCCATCTAAGATGCATCAATTGGTCCCAACCACCTGGAGTAAAGAAGAATTAAAAACACAGGGAAGCCTTGGCCCAAGGAACAGAGGGGGCCACATAGACCAGAGACTTCATCAGCCTGAGACCAGAAGAACTAGACGGTGCCCAGCTACCACCAATGACTGCCCTGACAGGGAACACAACAGAGAGTCTCTGATGGAGCAGCAGAAAGGTGGGGTGCAGAACTCAGATTCTAGTAAAAAGGCCAGACTTAATGGTCTGACTGAGACTGGAGGGGCCCCAGAAAGCATGGCCCCCAGACTCTCTGTCAACCCAGAACTAAAACAATTCCCAAGGCCAACTGTTCAGACAAAGATTAGACTGGACTATGGGACATAAAATGATACTCGTGAAGTGTGTGCTTCTTAGCTCAAGTAGACACATGAGACTAAATGGGCAGCTCCTGTCTGGAGGTGAGATGAGAAGGCAGAGAGGGTCAGGAGCTGGTTGAATGGACATGGGAAATCAGGGGTGGAAAGAGGAGTGTGCTGTCACAGTATAGGGACAGCAACTAGGGTCACATAACAATGTATGTATAAATTTGTTTTTGAGAGACTAACTTGAAATGTAAACTTTCACTTAAACTACAATAAACCAAAAAAAAATCATAGCCTCCTGTTGTCCTTCTGTGACATGAAGTGAATGGTAGAATCCAAACAGTGGTTTCTTTGAAGTGTAAGGACCCAGAACCCACTCCATTTCTCTAACATTCCCATCAACATCAACAAATATTCAAATTCAAAACCTACTAGAGTGTTTTGACTCTGAGATTAAAACCATATCGATTTTTACCTCATGATGCTCGACTGGCACTGATAAGTTTGATATGAAACTCATTATGATTTACAAACCCATATTACATCCAGTTTACTGGATTTAATTTATTTCGTTTCAAAGAATCTTTAGTGAGTAAATCAACCCTTTCATAAACAGTTACTGAGGCACACTTAGGCAATATACCTCTTCAGAAAAGGCAAATCTTTTAAAATGTCTCCAACAAACTCATCAACCAGCTTACACGACACTGGAATAAAACCCAAATTAGGCATCTTTACCTTGAAGCTTTCTGTAAACAAATAAAAAATCAAGATAAGGTCAAATATGAAACTTTTGCATTAGGAAAAATTATAGGAAAGTTACGCATTATTTTCTAAAACTTCACAATAAGACAAATTTTACACTGAATTTATTTACGTTTATTATTGTCATCCCTTCCCATAAAATGATTTCCTACATTAAAACATTTTGGATCACAGCAGAGTATAAAGAAATCGGTGGCATTCAGGCAGGCAGGTAGGTAGGTAGATTGGCAGATAAGTAGGTAATAGACAGATGATGATAGATACAGACAGACACACACAGAAAGACACCAAAGTTCCCTGTTTCCAAATACGTATTTCTCAGCCCTGGTGGCACAGTGGTTAAGAGCCCAGCTGCTACCCAAAAGGTCAGCAGTTCGAATCCCCCAGCCGCTCCTTGGAAACCCTATGCGGCAGTTCTACTTTGTCCCGTAGGGTTGCTAGGAGTCAGAATTGACTCAACAGCAATGAGTTTAGGTTTGTTTTTTGGGGTTTTTTTGGTATTACGAGGCAAGAATCTTGAAATGGTATCTCACTCCGAGATCGCCTACATATACACACTTAGATGAAAATACAATTTTAAAAACAAGGGAAGCTACAGGTGATAATGAAATTATTTGATATCATTACAATATCCTCGTGGGTCCTCTTTGATTTTATCATGGTATAGATATATAATATTCATATATACATATGTATCTAAGTATAAATGCAAATACGTATATATAATACATACATAACATCTCTTTAATATTTTTCCATCTCTATTTTTAAGCGTGAGTCACATTTTAAAGCAACAAATAGAACTCCTAAAAATGGAAAATATTCTCAAGGGGTGGGTTAAAAACCTATACAAATATTACATATATGTACTTCATAGATACAGACAAATTACATCCCAAACATGATAATTGGTTAATAAATTACTTTTCATCCAGCATTAGTTTGATAATCTAGGTCAGCATAGCAGTCACTGCTCTTGCTTCGCCCATTATCCCCTTGGCGCTCACTGTTGCCGTGTTCACACTGATGCCTTTGACGGCAACTCTGCCTGAGCACTTGACTTCTTAGAGCCCATATGAAGCAGACCAGAGTGCTAGGATTTAATACATTCAGGGACCGTCCTCAGCCAAAGACATGAGAAACATGACAACAGCTGGAGAATAAATATCCCAGCTCTGAAGTGGTTTCTACACCATTCCAGAGATTCCCAGTGTGCAGTGGTTAAGCACGAAGACTGGTAACCAAATGGTTGGCCGTTCAAATCCACCGGCCACTCCTTGGAAACCCTGTGGGGCAGTTCTACTCAGTCTTATAGGGTTGCTATGAGTCAGAATCAACTCGATGGCAGTGGGTTTGGTTTTGGTTTGCCCACTGTGGTAACCTACTCATTAAGGCGTCCTGCATTGGTTTCTTCCCTTCTTGATCTTACCTCGCCACCCCATATTGGATCTTCCTGTAATCAGTAAACTATCTGCACTCAGGGCCTTTGTCGGATGGAACCCCTCTTAACAGAAAGAAAAAGGATGTATGTTCTTCCCCCATATTCTAAAAAATATCTTTATATCAAAGTATCCTAAGTTCCCAGGAGCCTTCTTCCTCACATTCCTTCTGGGGTGTCCTTGTTTCTGAAATTCATCATCCAGAAATATCTTCCATGATGCTGTGACGATGGATAATCAATTTTTGTTTCTCTGAAAATGTCTATGTTATTTCTTCATTCTTCAATTATATTTTAAGAATTGTACATGATTCCATTATATTTAACTTCTATCGCTGTTATTGGGAAGTCTGTTTTGAGCTTACCTAAAATTATATAAGAAGATGTTTGTTTGGAGTCTCTTATCTCACATTTTAAGTTTTGAATAAAGAGACTTTCTAGTTTATACTGTCATATTTTTGCTAATGGAAGTCACATATATCTGGCTTTTATTAAAAACTGGTACCACTAATTACAAGCAAAACACAGGACACAGTAGAACTGCCCCATACAGTTTTCAAGGCTGTAATCTTCACGGAAGCAGACTGCAACATTTTTCTCCCTGGGGCAGCTGTTGGACTGGAACCTCTGACCTTTTGGTTGGCAGCCAAGCTCTTAACCACTGCATTACCAGGGCTCCTTCTTCAGAATTACAGTCATAACATACTACACCCAGAGATACTACAATAAAGGTAATTTACTTTTATTATTAACATGCATACTGCCAAAAAATGATTTTATACTTTTAACATTGAATTAGTGGTGTTTTCAGATCATTTTGGAAGAATAATGTTTTTATTTCAAATTAATCTAGGAATTTATTACCTTTAATGGGTGAAGGATTCTTTTTGAGAAAATGAAGTTTGGTTGTTCGCAGAGGAAGTGGCTTTCCAACCTCATACCCTTCAACCAGGTTTGACACAGTATTCCAGAGATATTCATACTCCTTTGCAATGGCACTTTCCAAATTCAAATGTAGGCCTACATAACAATTAAAACACTCAATGTTAAAAGTCCTTCCTACACAGACAACAAGCACACATCTTAATTAAATCCGCAGAGCTAAAATGACCGTCAAACAGTGAATTTTCAGTGAGTTCCACGCTGCATCTAAGTAAAAACGTTACTAGTGCTGCCTGTGAGGTTGTAAATTTTTAAAATGTATCTTCTTTTCATATTTGATAACTAAGTTTTAAAATCATAACTATCTTAGCTAATAATGTTGCCCTCAATTGCTGTCGAATTGATTTGAGTTATAGTGATCCCATGTGTGCAGAGTAGAACTGCTCTTTAGGTTTTTCAAGGCTTGTCTTTCAAGGCACCTCTGTGTGGGTTCAAACTGTCAACCTAATTATTTAATTAGGTTAACCAATTTAATTAATATTTAAGTAATTATTTTGATTAATTAAATTAATACTTAATCATTTAATTAAGAGTTTAATGAAAAATTAATTGATATTTCTTTACAATATTAATTAAAGACAGTATCTTGAAGAAATATTATACATGTATTTAAATGAAAACTTCAACTGTTAAAATTATACAGAGATGCCAAACACCCAAAGGTTTTCTTCCAAAAATATTTTGGAATAATATTAGTGAAAAAACGTTTTAAAATAGTACACTCTAATTAAAACTAAACAAAAATTATTTACATATATAAACAAAGACTAGAAGAAGATGCTGAGCTATGTGCTGGAATAACAGTGCTTTTGAAATTTTCAATACTTTATAATGTTCATCTCTGGATAAAAGTATAATCATTTTGGTACCTTGCACATGTTCATTTTCATAGTAAAAAGCAATATTCTTCAGCAAAGGCTCATCACTTAAGTCAGAAAGATGAGTTAAATTCAGATTCTCAAAAATATCTATATTATTTAGGATGAAATGCTCACACCACTTTTTCTGAAAATTGAAAATAAATCCAAGTTATTAACAATTTTCATATTAGCAATAAACCACAGAATGCCTTCAGACACTTCTATAACCCAAATAAAAGGGCTGTTCCATTTCTAATTAATGAAACCCCACTCAGGTTGAGTAGGGATGAAGGTTTCATGGCTTAAAAGATTAAAAAACTCTGTTGCTGTCCTGTAGGGTTGACTACAGGACACAGCAGAACTGCCCCATAGGGTTTCCAAGAAGCACCTGGTGGATTTGAATGGCTGACCTTTTCGTTAGTAGCCGAATTCTTAACCATTACGCCACCAGGGCTCCAAAAGATTAAAGTATAAAATAAAACCAAAACCAAACAAAAAACGAATTTACCCTGAATCGGGGCGATCAGTATTTGACTCTTAATACTTTTTTTCCCCTCACACTGTGATCCACAACGCATCTCTGTTCTTTACTTAGGTTTTAGTATTTTTCAATTTTACTTTTAGGTCAAAAGAGCTTTTTTTTTTTTTTTAAGAGCAATTTTGATTGTTCAGAGATCAAGAAGATGCTGAATCCTTCAAAGAACCGCCTCCACCCATACTTGTGTGCACCTATGGTGTTTATAATCACAAAGCTACGCTCCTACCCAGCACAAGCAGAATGTCTTCACTGCCCACACCTCACACTTCAGAGCAGACATGAGTAAGCAACGCCAGCAAGTGAGAGTCTACTCAGCCTCTCAGTCAATGGCACTGTATGGGGAGTCAGGTTGAGAGGGTGAAAACTGAGGTGATTCTGATCCACCCTCTCTTGATGATGAAACACAAGTTCCTTTCCGAATGGGAACAAGTGATTTCTCTGTATTGCTGTGGAACTCTAAACCAGTGCCATCCCCCAGAAATGTAATACGGACAAGCTGCATATATTAAATTTTCTACAACCAGAAAACCAAACCCATTGCTGTTGAGTCAATTCCGACTCATAGCGACCTGGGTAGAATGGCCCCAAAGGGTTTAATTTTCTACAAGCCACATTTAAAAAAAGAAATTAATTTTAATAGTTTAACTTACTTAACCCAATATATCCAAAATATCATCATTTCACTATGTAATCAGCATAAAATATTAACAAGATATTTTACATTTTTTTCATACTGTTTTTGAAATCCGGTGTGTGTTTTATTCTACCAGCACAACTCAATTCAGGCTACCCATATTTCAAATATTCAACTGTATGAACAGTTACTGTATGAACAGCCCACATTTAACCCCAGGAGTGAGAGGGGCTACACAAAGTTCATGACGAAGTCATTAATATCAAAGGAGGAGGAACCGCCTACCTAGACTGTCGTTTTTATCTACAAACTAAGTAATAAAGACAGAGCGAGAGAAGCATAAAGCAGTGGTTCTCAAACTGCAGCATGCATCAGCCTCACTGGAAAGGTTTGTTAAGACACAGGTCACTGGGCCCCATCCTCAGAGCTTCTGATTCAGTAGGTCTGGGGGAGGCGTAAGAATATACACGTCTAAGACATTCCCAGGTGATGCTGATGCTGTTGGTCCAGGGAACACTGTTTAAGAACCACCTCCAGGTAGGTTTCTCTCCCTGATCCTTCCCATCATGCTACTGGGTAAACAGTCATATGTGGAAACCGCGCGGTACAAATTCTTCATTTTATTCACTTCACACAAGATGTGCCTCTAGTGTGGTCTGCAGGTGTCAAGATTTACATGAAACGTCACAGAACTATTCCTAAAGTCTCCAAGTTTCTCTAAATGTCTTTTATAACGGACGAAAGCAATCAACTAATACACCGATTTCTTCAGTTCCTCTCAAGGACAAAATATGATAGCCACAGACAACCTTCTGTAGCTGACAACACAAAACTCTGATCATGTCAGAGATCTGAGGAAGGAAAAACAAAGAGACTTTTCCCCATAGGTCAGGTATATGTCATGTTCTTTGTCATTACTATAAATACGGCTGTTAAAAATCAGAAAATGATTGATTTAGGCCATGAAACCTTGAAGTCCCCAAAGGACTGACATTGTCCCAATAGAAATCTACTTTTGAAGGTGATTATGGTTTTTATCTATCAAACCATTGAAACAAACAAACAAAACAACAACAAAAAAAACTAATAAAGGGTATATTTACCATTTTAAAGAAAGAATTAACTTCCTTAATCCAATGGGAAGTGATGAATCTAGCACGAGCTCTTTGAGAAAGAGGTAAGTGGAGCAGACAAGCCACACTGAGGCAATGCATTCTACACAAATCCTCCACATTCTGCAGGGCTGGGCAGTTATTAGTCACCTGAATGAAAAAGGAAGGTAGGCCAGAGAACGGGCTATGAAACAGCATTATCAACAGGCAGCACAACAGAAGTGGGCAGCCACATTTTGTTGTGTGGAATTATGTATTATTACATTTTTCAATCTATGCTTTTGAGACAGTCCTTCTCTTTATGCATAAACAACTGCATTTATACAAAAGCGGGAGAAGAGACGTGAGAAATCTCCTGCTTAACAGCAGTCCATATAAAGCATTTTTCAGGAGTTTCCGTTAAGCCAGACTTCAATGAGCGGACCAAAGAGCTAATGAAGTCATGAGGCACACATTGAAGGCTCTATTCCATCTGAGGCATCCTATTTTTAAAGTAAGGTTTAAAATGTCCAGTGTGAGGTAACTAGGATGGCAACATAGCTAAAGAACATATCCACTGAGAAAAAGAGGAAATAAGTGGACATACTTCACATCATGTGACAAACACCTCATACCCATTGCTCCAACTCATAGCGACCCTGTTGGACAGAGTAGAACTCCCCCATAGGGTTTCCAAGGAGCAGCTGGTGGATTCGAACTGCCGACCTTTTGGTTAGCAGCCGAGCTCTTAAACACTATGCCATCAGGGCTCCAAACATGCAGGGTTGTCAGTGAACTGAGACTAGGAGTTACTCAGGTTATCTCGAGAGTGTCAAACAGGGGCTAATGATTAGAAGTTCCAGAGAGATGGATTTGGCTTGGTATCGTTTTGTGTGAGAACAATTAAAAATGGCATGCCTGATCATGTAGAAATGTTTCACTAAAAAAGATTCAAGCACATATTGGTAAACCAAACAGAAAGGAAGCTAGGTAAAAAATGGTGAGTCTTGTCCAATTCTGAAATTGTGGAAAAAAGAGGCAAAACTTCATTTTTTTAAAATAGGAATCTTCAGCCAAGATTCCCCCAGTACTCAGACTGTGTACAAAATAGTAAGTGTACACATGTGTGTGTTTGCAGGCACATGTATGAGCACATCTATGCAGGGTTGAATGCTTAGTTGGGGAGAGAATCCATACTAGTCAACAGACTTGTAATGGGCCTTAGTAGTCAAAAAGAAGGTTATGAACTTTAGAGTCTTTCCAGCTGGAATGACACCAAGACACTAGAGCAGGAATGCTCTTTTAAAAGACAGTTTGTTATTCTGGAACCAAAGCAAGACAGAACTGAGTTCAGTTCAGATTGTGATTTTCTACCCATGATCTCAGGAATGTTACCTGGACTATCTGAGACTCAGTGTTCCCATCTGTGAAACAGGGACAATCATACCTCTATTGAAACACTGTTGTGAGAACTGAATGGCACAATGCTTGTAAAGAGCCCAGAACATAGCAATGTAGTAGGCTCCCAACAAGTGCCAACTTCTTTTCTTCTCATTTCTTTTTTTTTTTTTTGAGTGATTAGACAAATTAGATTAAATATATACTAAGTGAAACACAGCATAAAGCAGTAAAACACTAAATCATATAACAGCACAATAGATGTTTTCTTATAAATTCCAGGTTTTTTCCTAGTTTTGAAAGTTTACATAAATAAATTAGGGAAATAAATGATGAAGTACCAAATGAAGGAAATGGTAGATGAAAATCAATAAAATTGCGTAAGTGGAGAGCCATGGCGATGCCCAGTAAGGTGCTACCAGTCACTCCAGTTGCATCTTAGTTACCTGATCTGACGCGGTCTCCTTTCTGTTCAGTAAAAAATGATGGTACATACTCAACGACAGGAAGCAGGAAGTAACGCAAAGAACACGCCGGATGTCAGATCCTTCTGGCCAGAGCTCCTTAAGCAGAGACAAACTCTTACATGCCTGTCACAGAAGAAAATTTTCAAATGTAATGGTATTTACAAAACAGGAGAAATAATAGTAGAATAGTAGAATACTATGAATAATAAAAATGGAAATTGTATAAAAAGTAAAAATGGAAGACAAAAATGGAAGAATATTTGTATTATCGGAGACCCCGAGGAACAACAACAAAACAACGTAAGTGATCTTATTAGATGAAGCCATAAAGAAAAAATAGAAAGATTTGACTACACAGAACTGTAAATATTTCTGTTAAAAAATGATAAACAAAATTTAAAAAATGGGAAAACAATTACAATTATGTCATGAAACCATTAAAAATTTAAATATGTAAAGAGCGCTTATAAATCAATAAGAAAATGCTTAATAATATAAGGCATGAGCAATCAAAAAAATAAACATAAATATTAATAAAATAAAAAAAATTTTCAGCCCTTTTAGCAATAAAGGAAAAAAAATTAGATACCATATATTTACTTCCAAGTTAGCAAAGTATTTTTAATGATAATAGCACTGGAAATCATGTTGTGAGTCATTTTTCTTATATTTTGCTAATGAGAGTATAAATAGGTCCTACCTGACTGCAAAGCTATTTGGCAAGACATATGACTATCATTAAATATGTTGATACTTTTTGATTATTTAAGTGCTAGGTATCTAGCCCAGGTAAACGATAGAGAATGTACACAAATATTTATGCAACCAGATATTCACCACAGAGTTATTTGTAAGAGTCAATTTTTCAAACAATTTAAACATTAGGGGAATGTTACCCACTGATTAAAAATTAAGTCACCTTATATTCCAATGCAAGACTCTATGTTAGTCACAGGATACTTTTATATTTTTCCAATTCTATCATACATTTTCATAAAATTAATACATCTATACATGCATGCATACATACGTAAATACTTACATATATACATATATATATTACATATATATTTTTGGGACTTCCGTACAGTTGAAGACAATACAGTCTGTAGTAGTCTACTTCCCATGAACTCCATTCCAAATGACATACAGTATTTTTATAATTACAAATAACTTGAGCAGAGAAAATAATAATGGTGCAAAATAACTGTGTGTAATAAATCATCAACAAAGTCCAGGTCTGCAATCCCTCATACTCCTGCCCCACTTCAAGGCTTTGTAGTGGCCAAAGAGAGATGGAGCAAACTGCAGGAAACGCAGAGGAGGGACGCTGGCAAAAAGTGAATTGGAATAACCACTAGAAAGGTTAAAGCTATCTTCAGCCCAGAAATATTTAAAAAGGAATCAGGCAGAATGGAGCACAGACTAAAGGAAGGAACTTCAATGGATGTACAATGTAAAGGGTTATTTAGCATATAAGGGACAGAACAAACGGTTTAAAGAGACAGATACCATATAAAGGGCCAAACATATGATTTAAGGAATCAAGACTCAATTTTAAAAAGTAAGCGTGAGTTAAAAGGATGTTGTTATTATTGCTGTGTGCAGTTGAGTCAATTCCGACCCATAGCGACCCTACAGGATGGAGTAGAACTGCCCCCATAGGATTTCCTAAGCTGCAATCTCTATGGAAGCAGACCATCAGGTCTTTTCTCCCATGGTTTCTCCCATGGTTAAGGGGCGGGGGAAGGTGGTGCATGTACCTAAAAGGAAGGGAGAAGTATCCTTTAGTAATCAAGTAGTGAAGGGGAGGGAAAAACAAAGGAGAATATTTTGGGCTCTGAGAGATGAAAGAAAACCACAAAATCAGAGAACTCACAACACCTCATCCTCCACCGAAATAAATAACCCAACAGACAAAAATCATGTCAATCATGCCTGAACTTTGCTAGACAGACAGGAAAGGGCATCATTAAATTACAAATCTTTTAACACATCTTGATGTCATAAAAATAAGTAAAAGGAAAGAAGAATACTTAGAGGACTAATGAAAAAAAATTTCACACAAATCAACAGGAAAATCTATTCCACCACCATTAAAAAAATTTAATACCCACCACAAAGCAAAAGAACTATCTAACTCTAACTAAAGCTTAGTTAACAGTATTGTACCCACTGCTGTCGAGTCAATTCTGACTCATAGCGCCCCTAGAGGACAGAGTAGACCTGCCCTACAGCGTTTCCAAGGTTGTAATTTTCATGGAAGCCAACTGCCACATCCTTCTCCCACGCAGCAGCTGGTGGGTTGGAACTCACGACCTTTTCGTTAGCAGCCAGCGTTTCACTACCGGGTAACAAGAGCTCCTTTGATAGTATTGTACCAATGTTAACGTCCCGGTTTGGATCAAGGTACCGCAGCCATGTAAGAAGTTAACCTTAGGAGAAGCTGCGTGAGGGGAATACAGGAACTCTACTATTTTTGCAACTTTTGTGTAATTAAAAAATTAGTTTAAAATAAAAAGGTTTCTAAAAAGTTTCAGTACCTCTTCCATCATATTTGTCCATGTAACATCTCTAAAAAGAGGTGCTAATGTTAAAACTCTACTGTCTTCCAATTGTTCCATCAGGGTTTTGTAAGCACCTTCCACCATCTTTTCACTCTGGAAAAGGGAGGAAAGTCACATAAACGGTCATAAATAAAATATTTAATTATTTTCTAGCTATAGAAAATCAGATATCTGTTACAATTATGTTACAATATATTTCTAAGTAAAAAAGAAATCCACTCATGTAACTGCATAGTCAACAATGTTTTTAAAGCCTGCTGAAAAGCACTAATTTCTCTTTGCTACATTAATTTTTGTCTAGGGATATAGTGCATTTAAGATTTGAACAGTTTCAAGGAGGTATAATTACTATAACATAACATTGACTCATTTTAAGTGTATAAATCAGTGATTTTTCATAAATTTACAGAATTGTACAACCCTCACCACAATCTAATTTTAGAGTATTTCCAACATTACAAAAAGAAACACTGTACCCATTAAGGGCATTATATTTTTTATTACGAACATTTTCAAGCATGCATATAAATTAAGAATAACATATTTTTTCCCCAGGTACCTGTCAGCCAGCAACAGCCATTATCAACACACAATGATTTTTAATTGTATTTCACAGTCCTCAAACCGATAAATGAAATAACCTTGTTGAGTATTCAATAAATTAGGATATAAATTATTTTATCAAAAAATACATTCCTCAATTTAAAAAAAAAAAATTCTTCTTAAGGAGAGATTGGGTAGGATGTTTGTAAAGCACTCTTAAAACTCAGATTCAAGAACTGCTCTAACAGAACAGAAGATCAATTGACAACGGTAGTTTCTCCCAGTATAAAACTGAATCCTTGGACCATTTCTGTTCACAGTGGGCAAGCTGAGCTGGAAATAGTTTCATGATAGGAGTGCAAACTAAGGCAAAATAACGACCATATCACATTTCATGACAACTACTGGATATCTCCAAACACGATGAGCCGTGTCACACAATTATCAAAGAGTACAAATGCTAATTGATTCAAAAATCATTTTGATAAGATATAGAATTATCTTTATATTCAGAATTCACTGTAACTAGTGAAAATCAAAACAAAAACTAACTTTATTCACGAAGTCAGCATGCATTTTTTACTCTCAAAATTTCAATAGAGCAATTATCAAATATACAAATATAGCAAAACAGTAAGATCATCGAACTAAAATTCTAAATACTTTGAAAATTCTACGGAATAACTTAATACTAAAAAATAAAATTATCTCATTTGTTTTTTCCTTCTCCATTAAGCTTCTTCACTGTTTTATCATTAAAGGTCACCACGTTAACCATCATTTCACTAGTGTGTCTAAGCAGCAGAGACATAACCTTTGCCTCCAGTTCAATGCACTTCTGGCCTTCATTGGCTTGGAAGCAGCATATGACAAAGCAATTAAACACAAAAGGATTGGAGTCTGCATCTTTCCAAATCATTTCTCTATTACTCATTTACTGTTGGTCAGGAGTGAATGACTCATACAAGTACCCATTTCCTCATCTGTAAAACAGACCAAACTAACACAGCTACCTTAGAAGACTGTCATAAAGGGGCTAAATAAAGTAATTCAAGGGAAATACCAAGGACTACCGTTACAATAATAAAAACCAAAGCCAAACCCACTGCTGTCAAGATGATCCCGACTCATAGCAACCCTGTAGGACAGAGTTGAACTGCCCCATAGGGTTTCCAAGGCTGTAAATCTTTACAGAAGCAGACTGCCATGTCTTTCTCCCATGGTAGCGGCTGGTGGGTTCAAATCACCGACCTTTCAGTTAGCAGCTGAGTGCTTTAACCACTGTACCACCAGGGCTCCGTTATAGCAACAGTGCTCAATAAATGACTACTTTCTAATTGTTATTACTTTTATTCACTTCTCTGTTAGACCTGTGATAATTTCCACAGAAGAAGAACATTGAACCAAGTCATTAGGAAATTCTGTAAAATCCCAGGAGAAAATTGCCAATGAGCTATACATTACCTTCTTGAAAAACGTTTGGTTTTTATACTTGCTTGGCATAAGGTACGCATAAAGTCGGAGAATATCAGAGACTTGTCCTGAAGAAAGCACAACATGGACCTTCATTGCCCAGGACTGTATGATTAAAAAGTTGAAAAGGTGTGTCTGTACATCATTCAGGCCTTCCTCTGAAACTATCAGGAAATACGGGTAACGCTCTTCCAAGAAACATTTCCACTCTTGTGATAAGCATCCTGAAAATTCAGTTTGCACATCAATGGTGGTATTACGCTGAAGATGAAGAATTAAAGCGCTTCTCAAAGGAAGAAGTTCAGGAAAACTGATATATGCATATTCAGCATCCTGTGGGGTAGAAGCGAGTACATTATTTTGAAATTATCACTTAATAGTTCACTAGTTTAGTTGGTTAACACATATCGTTAAAGGTGTTAAAGGAATAGGATCCAACCCAGTTTTGTTCTGGTTTAAAGTCAGGAAATAGACTCCTAAGCCTTGACTGTCATTTCAACCAATATATGCCATAAACCACAATTTGGATCACGTCTGTTCCTTAAAACAGGTACAGAGTACTCAGGGTTTATCACACTTTTCTTTCCCACTCTCTAATTCTTTTCCTCGCCAATCTCAATTCAAAAAGAAAAGGGACAGAAAAATCTAAAAATAAAATACAAAAAACAAACAAAAAATCTGTTGCCATCAAGTCAATTCCAACTCACAGTGACCCTACAGGACAGAGTAGAACTGTCCCATAGGTTTTCCAAGGAGCAGCTGGTGGATTCGAACTGCCGACCTTTTGGTTAGCAGCTCTAGCTCTTAACCACTGCCCCACCAGGGCTCCAAAAAAAATTAAACAGTGGATACAAATTATCTGGAGTGGGAAGCTGAGGTGGATGTCTTTGTTAGGGAGGATTGTTGCAGGTCATCGTGCCTCTTCTTCATTAAGCAGCAGAGGTTTTTCTCAGCAGACCAAAATCTGTCATTCATTAAGCTTGATTATAAACATTAGATCAGTGTCCTGGCTCGTTACTCAGAACATTACTTGCAACTAGCAACAATGTTCAAAAAATAATAATAATCTGTATTACAAAATGATTGAACAGATGCATACCAAAATCCTCAAGAGTAATACATGGGTTACCTTTAGGAATAGGATGGGAAGAGCATAGTAATGGTTATATACATATCTGTGATGGTGAATTTCATGTATCAATTTAACTAGGCTATGATTCCCAGGGGTTTGGCCAAACATGAGTCTAACTGCTGTTCCACAGCATAATGTGATGTAATGATCTTCTACAATGTAAACTAATATAATCAATTAATCAGTTGAAAAGAGACTTTCCTAAATATGTGGTCTGCCTCCAGACTATAAATAGATATTTTGGCAGAACTTTCTCTTTCTTCACTATGCACTATGCCCTTGACCTACAATCTTGGAACATAAGCTTGCAGGAATCTCCAGCCAACAGCCTGACCTAAAGATTTGGGACTTGCCCATTCCCCCACAATCCTGTGAGCCAAATCCCTGAAGTAAATCAATCAATGTGTGTGTGTGTGTTTCTCTCATATATATATATTTTTTCACTGATTCTGTTTCTCTAGAGAAACTTAAGACAATAATATCTGTACTTAAATGGCTGACATTTGGTTGAATTATACCATAATTTTAAAAAAGAAAAACAAGACATGGTATTCTCTTGGGGATATTCACTAAAGAGTAAAGAGTAATGAAGCCGGTTAGTGAGTCTGCCGTTCTTTTGGGCTCAAATAAATTAACTGCTGAGGTCTGAAGATAAAAGTAATTCTCAAGAGTTGGAGGACTAGAATCCAGAAGTGAACCAGGCTGCTGTTGAGATTCCTTGTGCTCTGGGTCCTTACAACATATTTCACCATTATCAGTAAAAGATAATGTTAAATGTGATAATCTCTGCAATACCAGGATTCTGAGTAACGTTTTTCTATTCTTCTCTTTAAAATTTCTGGATTTTTATAGATATAGTTCACTTTGTAACAAGAAAATATTACTTATAATTTAGTGGGTTTTAGTTTTTTTTCTCCTATCATAGAAAATAATTCAGCTCTCAACTGTTACAGGTTACCTTGAAGAAAACGATGGCAAATTGTCCTCCCTTACTCTTAAGATCCACAAGATAGCGTTCCACCAGATAGAAGAAGTGGAGATTCTGCCCCCAGTTTAATGATTTCTCACGTAGGCATGTGATAAGTAGTGAATCTCCATCAATCAGAAAAAATTCAGATTCAACAAAATCATTGAATAAACTGGAATATCTAAAATAAAAGACAAAAATCACATATAGATTAAATAATTCCCAGTAAAAGTAGCGGCACTGTTATTATTATCCCATGATTATTATGATCAACAACTGAAGTTGTTAATTATCTGATGACAGGCTGTATGCTAAGGCTTTTCAAATATATTCATATGCACAACTATCCTTCACTGGAAGAAGGTAGGATCATTACCATTTTATAGATAAGTAAACATAGGCTCAGAAAGATAGGGCAAATTATCCAAGGCCACGGGGCATTGTCTGGATAGTACTCAAGAATACCTGACTTTAGTATCTGTATTCTGAATATAAAACTGGAAATCAGTTGCTGTGAATTGACTCATGACAACACCACGTGTGTCAGAGTAGAACTGGGTTCCATAGGGTTTTCAAGGGCTGATTTTTCAAAAGTAGATCACCAGGCCTTTCTTCCCACTCTGAGCAGACTTGAATCTTCAACCTTTCAGTTAGCAGCTGAGCACCCTACCCATTTGCATCACCTGAGGACTTATTCTGAATATAGAAGGTATTACATTACCTTATTACTTCATCAATCTCATCCCTTTATGAAGCAATACGTCCGTTGATAGCCATGGGTAAATGAAGCAAGAACAAACTTTTTCCACCACCACCAAACAACTCTAAAAAGGCTATCTTGAGAGATAAAATATATCTCTAAGGACAAATAAGATATACAGGGAATATGATTTCCCAACTCTTTATTTATTACTTATTACTACCAAAATACTCACTCGGCTTTTGGTATTTCCTCCAAAATTAACTGTGAAATTTTCTTTAAAAACTTTGTGTATTTTTCTAAACATAAAAAGGAGAGAAAGAAAAGGGATTATTTTCAAACATCAATACTTTTTAATGAAGCTATCATTTGGTTATTATTTGGGCAAAAAGAAACAGTAATACAATTATTTTAATTCCATTAAATCTGTGTAGCTCACATAATCATTGTTTTATAATCTATAAAAATTATATATTGAAAGTTACCCATTCTTGCTGCTCTATGAGCCTCTGGTCATAACCGGTAAATATTAAGTATAGCAAGTTTTCTTTACTTCAGCACCTTTAAATGGCAGTTATTAATAAAAATGGCAAACCTGCAATAAAAGAAGAAAAAATAAAAAATGCATTTATTCCTTCAACAAATATATATTGAATGATCACTGTATGTTAAGTAAAATGTTATTGTTGTTGTTACTTGTAGTTGAGTTGAATCCAACTCATGGTGACCCAATGTATTACAGAGTAGAACTGCTTCATAGGGTTTTTCTGGCTGTAATCTTAACGGACTTTTCTTCCATGGTACCACTGGGTGGGTTCAGACTGCCAATCTTTAGGTTAGCAGTCAAACACAAACCATGGGGAAACTGAGCACCACCTTGGGAAATGTTAGGCACTGGGAATACAAGAATGAACAAAAGTTAACATGATATTAGTCCTCATGGGCTTACAAGGACTTAAAATCTATCAGATAATAATAAACACAATAGAAAACTGCACATGGACTAAGTCAAAGAGGTCAGAGGACACTTCCCTAAAGAAGTAATGCTTGAGCTGAGTTAAGTTCTGAAGGCTAAAGCAAGAATTAATTAAGCAAAAAAAAAAAAAAAAGAGAGAGAGAGAAAATAACTTCACAGGCAGACGGAATACTAAATGCAAAAATCATGTATCATGAAGGTGTGTGGATGAAACCAGGCCCCCAGAAGAAGCCATTGTGGCTGGAGTAGAGAGAGTGAAGGGAAGCACTACCTCTGCTAAAGAGGTCTAAAGAAATAGAAGGACATGCTGAGCCTTTAAGGGCACATTATAGAATTTTTTTTTTTCTTCATAAGTGAAATAAAAAATAAGCAATTGATGGGTTTTAATCAGGTGGTATTATGATTAGCTTTGTATTTGAAAAGATTACTCTGGCTAAGGTATATAGGGAGCCCTGGTGGCACAGTGGTTAAGAGCTTGGCTGCTAACCAAAAGGTCGGCAGTTAATCCACCTTGGAAACCCTATGGGGAAGTTCTACTCTGTCCTATAGGGTAGCTATGATTCAGAACGGACTCAATGGCACCTAACAACAACAACAACAACAACAAGGTATAGAAAATAGAAAGGGCAGAAGCAAAGTTCAAATTCCTGTTGGTAGAGAGAAAGTTGCTGTCCAGGAGAATAACTTGGTAATTTTGTGTAATACAGGCCGTCCCCAGATTATGAATGAGTTCCGTTCCTAAATCTGACTTTACGTCGAATTTGTAGTAAGCTGGAACAGTTAGATATAGTTCGTATCTAACATCGGTTAGTCAAATGTTTGTCTTAGTGTACAGTATATAGTGTAACTTTCTATGCGTAAAAAACAGTAAAGGAACACCTCCAGATAAACTAAAAAATCTTTAACATAATAATACAGTAATAATAATCATGTTTTGATGTGTGCCAAAGTAGTGTCCATTTGTTATTACTAACTATTGTATGTACCTCAAATTTTTAATATAATAGGCTTTACGGGGGTTGGTTTGTAACCATGGATTATACATAAGTCGGATGCTGATAACTTGGGGACTGACTGTATGATTTAATGACAGGTTGATCTAATAGAGCTAGAGATATGTGGATTTATTTGAGGGACACTTAATAGATGAGTTTGATTTAACTTTGGAATAGATTGGATATGGGTGGACAGGAGAGGACAGAGGGGGCTGTCAGGGATGACTCAGGATTCTATCTTATGCAACAGATGGATGACTAAGTCATTCCATGGATAGAGAACTTTGGAACAAGGCTACATTTCAGGGAAAAATTATGAATTCATTTGCGTACTGCCTGAGTTTGAGTTGCTTTGGGTTACCATAGAACATGTCACATAAGCAGTTGAATATATAGGTCTAAAGTCAAACACAAGGTCTGCGTGGGATCTGAATTGTGAGTCATTTGTGTATTAATGGTAACTGAGGTCCTTGGTATAGATGAACTTGCTTGGACAGAAGCATAGACAGCATCATGGGAAAAGACAACCGAAAGTCCAGTCTTGAGGATCACTAATATTTAATAAATGGCAGGAGAGAAAAGAGTCTTCAAGAGTAACTGAGAAAGAACTACCAAAGACGTAGAAGAGAATGTACTTGAGTGATATGTCATGGAAACCAATTACTGAGACATTCCTCAAATATACCAGTGACAGGACTTTGAAACATTAAATATGTAGATAGATATAGAGGTTCATGCCCTTAAGGAACATATAATAGGGAGACACACACTGATATGAAATATTAAAATAATAATGCAAAGAAGTATATGACTGTAAAAATGAGTACACTCATAAGAAAAAGAAATAATTGTAAGCTGGGGTGGTTAGGAAAGACTTAATGAAGATATATCCATTCACCCAGTTAGTCCACCTTTTCTCAAAAACGTATAGAGCATCTACTCATCACCAAGCATTGTACTTGCTGCAACGTATGCAAAAATGCATCAACTATGGTCCTGTTCCCTTACAACCTGGTGAAGATTTACAGAGAATTACTAAACACTATAACGTGTTGAGTCCTCTGGCGGAACTGGCACAGCAAGCCATCAGAGAAGTGAGGAGTTCCTCAGTCAGATGGGAGGGGTTGGGTACTGTGTTCTGAGAACAAGTTGAAAAGTTGAAGAATCATGGAAGTGTGCTGGGGAAGGTAAGAGATACAGAGGATGTCATTCCATGTAGCAGAAACCGCACCAGTTTAATGCACAGAAAGATGAGACTACTTGACATGGTTGAGATTCTGCAGGTTGTTCTGCATGGCACAGCACGTGGTGACTTGATTGGAGACGAGGTTGAAAAGACAGGTATGGAACAGATTATAAAGGATCTTGTGTCCATGTAAGGAGGTTGGACATTTTTCTGAAAACTCTCTGCCATTCAGCCTATGAAATTCTCAACCTCACTAATTGCATGGGAAACACTGTTGTCATTCAGTTGTCCATACTGTACCAAGCTCTGATGGAGAAAAGATGAGTCAGGAGAATGGAGCAGACAAGAGAAAAGTAAGCCCAAGGATGTTAAGAAGGGAGGAAAGTTTCCAAAAAAAATAGTGTTAAGGTTCCACAAGATGAAATAAATCATACATGCCCACATGTTCAAGAGGCCTTTAGTACAGGGATGGATGACCCAATAAGCAGAGTACACATGGGCTTACTTGTGTTTACGTGCTAATCCGTAGCGCACAATTTCAACTGATGTGTGGTGAAACCCACGTGAAATTGTACGTACAGATTAGTAAGTAAACACAAGTAAGCCTGTGCGTACCCTGCTCATTGGGTATCTGCCCCTGTCTTAGTATCCCAGGAATATTTTTTGTGGCACTCCTACGACAAAATAAATATGTAAAAACTAGTTTCACTTACTGGGTGGTTAGGTGCAAACAAATTAATAAATATTTATGTCTTAACAACTAAGTGTTTGAAAAAATATAATAAACATAAATAGAAAGAAAAAAGTTTATTATTATTATTAAATAACCACAATTACTAAAGAGATGTGTGCACTGTTGGGCAATGAACATCTTTTCCATAACAGTCATTGGGGCAAAATAAACCAGTTGCCAGTGAGTGGACTCTGACTCAGGGCCACCTTACATGTGTGTCAGAGTAGAACTGTGCTCCACTGGGTTTTCAACGGCTGATATTTTTTCTCCCCAGAAGCAGATTGCCTGGTATCAGCAGCTTAGCTCCTTAACCATTTGCACTATTCAGGGACTACTCTGAAGGAAGGAAGGAAGGAAGACAGCCATATTAGAATTACTAGATACTAGAAACAAAAAAAGCATTAAAAAGAAGAAACCAGATGAAATGAACAGGTGATTCAGGGAGAGAATAAACTTTCAAAAAAGTCTAATTAAGTCTTCTCAACTAAAATGATAATATCTAATAAAATAATAACAGACTACTACAGCAAAATACGTAAATAAAACAAAATAAAATGAGAAGAGCTCATAAAAATTCAAAACATAATTTTAGAAAAAAAATCAGCAGACAGATCAATAAAATGGGCATGGTGAACTCCAAGCTGGTGATCTGGTGGTCAAAGTCCAAGAAATGTCTTAGAAGACAGAAGAAAAAGACCAAGAAATGGGAAAAGAGAAAGTTCTAAGAATTATAGAGGGTGGATCAAATAGTTCTAAAGCCATGTAAAAATAATTCCAGGAGAGAACTAAGATTCCAGAGTGGGATGACGATAATGGAAAAATGGGGGCATAAATTATCAATCTTTAAATGCACCTTTATAAACAAAAGCATAAACAAAAGAAATTTTTAGGGGAGGGACAGTCCATTCTGGGGAAATGATAAATGCTGGTTTAGGTAAGGAAATCCTGGTGGGAGAGCGGTTAAGAGCGACGGCTGCTACCCAAAAGGCTGGCAGTTCAAATCCACCAGGCGCTCCTTGGAAACCCTACGGGCAGTTCTACCCTGTCCTATAGGGTCACTATGAGTCAAAATCGACTCCATGGCAATGGGTTTTTGATTTAGGTGAAGGAAGTGTTCTGCTTTCGGGACAGGCGGAGAAACACATTCCTGCAGTGAATGTCTAGGTTTCACTGGCTGTGCTCATATGTGAATCCCCTTACTTTCTCCTCAATATCCCTAATCCCCAACGCACCTAACCCCCCCCCCCAACTTGAAGGGAAACAAACAAACAAAAAAAAAAAACAGTCCAGTCCATTTTGTCTCACAGCGACCCTATAGGACAGGGTAGAACTGCCCCATAGGGTTTCCAAAGCTGTAAATCTTTAGAAAGCAGACCGCCACATCTTTCTCCCGCAGAACGCAGAGCGGCTCACGGCTTCCAACTGCCAACCCTTCCTTTCGGTTAACAGCCGAGCGCTTACCCACTGCGCCACCAGGACTCCTTGCCCCATGAAGGGAGTCCGTTAAAAGCCTGAACAGACCCCCACCCACCCCCCGGTTTTTCAAACCACAGCGCAGTCAGCAGCAGACATCCCCGTCCTCTGCCTTTGCTCACTTCGGGTCTCCTCACGGCTGCAGAGGGCCCTGCTCCGCGCCTTGGAGACCTCATTGGACGCCCCGGGCAGC